AATAGTGGTGTCGTTCCATTTAATTGATGATTTAAATAGTGGTGTCGTTCCATTTAATTGATGATTTAAATAGTGGTGTCGTTCCATTTAATTGATGATTTAAATAGTGGTGTCGTTCCATTTAATTGATGATTTAAATAGTGGTGTCGTTCCATTTAATTGATGATTTAAATAGTGGTGTCGTTCCATTTAATTGATGATTTAAATAGTGGTGTCGTTCCATTTAATTGATGATTTAAATAGTGGTGTCGTTCCATTTAATTGATGATTTAAATAGTGGTGTCGTTCCATTTAATTGATGATTTAAATAGTGGTGTCGTTCCATTTAATTGATGATTTAAATAGTGGTGTCGTTCCATTTAATTGATGATTTAAATAGTGGTGTCGTTCCATTTAATTGATGATTTAAATAGTGGTGTCGTTCCATTTAATTGATGATTTAAATAGTGGTGTCGTTCCATTTAATTGATGATTTAAATAGTGGTGTCGTTCCATTTAATTGGAAGTAGATTGAGACATCTTTTGTGTTGATTATTATTTTGTTAATAATCAATTGAAAGTTATTTTAAAGTAATTGAAATCGAAAACAACATAGCTTGATTAGGCGATTCACCGAGTTGTACCTCGAATTCATTTAAACCCCCCAACATCTTCCATTCTCTCATGGCAAGGCTGGCAATCGTGCTCATAGATTTTCTACTTAAAGCATTTACGACAACATTCGCCTTTCCCAGATGGTAATGTAATTCAAAATCGTAGCCCTCCATATATTCCATCCATTTTCTCTGACGTAGGTTCAAATCTTTCTGCGAGAATAAGTACTTAAGGCTCTTATGATCAGAAAAAGATATCAAATTTCTCTCCGTATAAGTAATGTCTCCAGGTTTTTAAAGCAAAAATGACTGCAGCTAATTCAAGATCGTGAGTAGGGTAGTTTCTCTCATGAGTTTTCAGTTGGTGAGAACCATACGCTACAACCTTGCATTCTTGCATTAAGACACACCCTAGCCCTTCTTTTGATGCATTACAATTGACAATGTAACCTTTTCCTCTCTCAGGAATAATCAAAACCAGCGCAGTAGTTAATCTGGCCTTTAATTCTAGAAAAGATTTCTCACTAGCATCGTTCCATATAAATTTCACCCCCTTCCCAGTTAGTTTGGTCAATGGTGCTGCTAAAAAGGAAAAATCCTTTACAAAAAGCTTATAATACCCAGTAAGCCCCAAAAAACTACGTATCTCAAACACATTTCTAGGTCGTTCCCATTTCTGCACGGCTTCAATTTTCGATGCATCTATTGTCACTCCATCATTTGAGACCACATGACCCAAAAACTTCAGCTTTGAGAGCCAAAACTCACACTTCTTGTATTTAGCATAGAGTCGGTGTTCTCTAAGAAGTTGTAAGACGATGTGAAGGTGTTTCTCATGCTCCTCTTCGGAGGGCGAGTAAATAAGTATGTCATCTATAAAAATCACCACAAACTTATCAAAAAATTCTCGAAAAATTAGATTCATCAGGTCCATAAAAGTTGCAGGAGCATTGGTTAAGCCAAACGACATTACTAGAAATTCATAGTGGCCATATTGGGTACAGAAGGCTATCTTGGAAATGTCCTCCTCGTTCACTCGCAACTGATGATAGCCCGATCTTAAGTCTATTTTCGAGAATCCTTAAGTTGGTCAAAAAGGTCATCTATCCTGGGTAAATGGTATTTGTTCTTAACTGTGGCTCTATTGAGTTTATGATAACCGATACATAACAATAATGAACCATCTTTCTTCTTCGCAAATAGGGCCGGTGCTCCGCATGGCAAAGTACTAGGGCGTGTAAAACCTTTGTCTAACAATTCTTGTAACTACTTCTTTAAGACAAGTAACTCCGCCTGGGCAAATCTGTAGGGAGGCATAGAAATAGGTGTGGTCCTAGGCACTAAGTCGATGGAAAATTCTATCTCACGATGAGGTGGTTATGTCGTGAGATCTTTAGGGAAGACATTAGGATACTCAAACTACTTTAGGAAACATTCCTCGACTCCCATTATTCCCATCATCTATGACAAAATTTTCAAACTGTCTCTAAAAAATTTTCAATCTGTCTCTAAAAATTAAAAATTAGTGACATTTTTTTGTGATGATTTTTTTAAACTATTGCTAAAATTTATAATTAATAATATTTTTTATGATAAATTTTTTAAACTTTCGCTGAAAATTAACTGTTAATGATATTTTTTAATAATATTTGATAAAAAATATTATTAATTGTTATACAATTTGTAGGCCTTGTTTGGCATATACTAAAGTAGTTAAAAGGTCAAAAAGTTACTATTCTATTTAAGTCACATCACTTTATTTAAGTCACATCATCTCTTTACCGCATCACTTCAAACTCAACCTATATTTCATAAAAAATAAAAAAAATACACTTATATAGAACCTTGCAAACAACCTTTAAATATATAGGATTTATAGGTCTTCTATGACATTTTGGATTTTAAAATGAGTTTTGAAAAATCGGAAGCCAAATAGGTTTTGGATTTTGAAAAATTGATTAAAAAATTTAACCAAACGCACTGTGTTTATATTAAGGCGGTACAGCTTCGATATTTGTTGGGTGCAAAATAATCAGAAGAATTGGGGACTCAAGAGGCGAACCTATAGCGATCCTGGTTGTCCCTTTACTGTTCTGTTGTATTCCGGACTTGGTTCCATGGAGTGGTAGGTGTATCTATCTTGTTGTTGTCCTTTAATTCCATTTATTTGAGTTTTAGGATGTGTTGGGCATGTTTCGAACAGGTGGGTTGATCCTTGGTCTAAAATCTTGTTGCCAGGTTTTTGGTCGTTCCGCTCGAGCAGGCCTTGTTGCGCTCGAGCGGAGATTGCACGCTCCCAGTATTTTGGTGCTCTGCAGAACTTCTGCAAGCATGTTTTTCACGCTCGAGCGAGTTTCTTTACGCTCGAGCGGTCGCGCTCGAGCGGGTACTATGGCGCTCGAGCAGGTAGTACTTCTTGGTGTAAGTTCTGGAAGGGGGAAATCTACGCTCGAGCGGACTGGTTTTCGTGCTCGAGCAGATGTACTTTATTCTTGTGTCTTGGTGCTCGAGCGGGCCTTCTTGCGCTCGAGCGTACCTAGTTTTTTGTTCTTGACGCTCGAGCGTTGTGTTCTCCGCTCGAGCGAGCTCCTCTCTCTAGAAACTCCCTTCTTTCTAGGGTTTGATCTAGTTAGAGTGCTTCCCTTCCCTTCGGCCTTTGTAAGGGTTGGGTTGATCGTCGAGGGCTACATTTTGATCCGAGAATATTGAGTTTAGGAGCACGTTGAGTTTCTTCATCTTCTTTCCTTGAGCTTCGAATTTGACGTAGGGATTCCTACTCACTACTATGAGCTTTGACCTAGATTTTTGGGCATTTTGTTAAATGGTTGATTTTGGGACTTAGGGTTTCAAAAAGTATAAATGGGGTTTCTTGTCATTTTGATTCTTAAATATGTATTTTGGGTTTCAAAATGGTGTTATTGAGGTTGGTTGTTGATATATTAACCATTGGGTCAATATTGGGAAGTGGGGTAGGAAAACCCTAACTGGTTATATAAATTAATTAGTATGATTAATTTGGGAAAATTGTGGCTATATGGAATTGAGTTGGAAATAATGAAATTGGTTCATTATATGGTAGAATAGTGGAGTTAGATTTATTAATCGCTCACTTTTGAAAACATTGATACTTTATCTGTTGGAGCTTTTATTATCTGTTTAGAAATTATTGCTTGGGCTACCGCTGGAGGGTAGTTTTGATTGTTGTAGACAATGCATGATGATTAGGTAAACTAAAACTAATCAGAGTATGCCGGTTGATAGAATACATTAACGTTATGTATTGATTGATTGTGTATATGACCTATGTGTATATACGTTGTGTGTGTGTGGGAGGAGATAGGGGATGTACTCCACTGTTTAGGGGAAGATAGGGGATGGACCTCTAAACCGGATGTTGTTTGGGAGGAGATAGGGGATGGACTCCACTGATATAGCTCATATTCTTGTCAGTTAATGTGTTGATACAACTCATATGCTTATCTTTGGAAGTGTTGATATAGCTAATATGCAAATCTGTTGAAATGTGAATACAGCTTGTATGCTTATCTATTGAAATGTTGATATAACTAGTATGTTTATCTATTGTAAAATGGGAAATGTCTAATACGAGTCACTGTCTCATATAAGTGGTTGGCTAGGTTCTGAGCCGTTGATGTAAATTGTGAAATTGATAAGAAATGGAAACTGTAATGAAATATGAACATAGTGGTCATGAAATGGAAATGGGTTATGAATTGATTTATGAAAATTGAACATTTATCAATTGCTAATGTCTTAGTTATTGCTCATACTGTGTTTAGCATATTTCTACTGGGCGTTGGCTTACCCTATATGGGACATTATTTTCAGGTACAGGTAGTATGCCACCTCCAAGGACATAGCTTGGATGATGATGAGAGTTGAAGACTCTTTTTGTTTATTTTGTTTGTATTACATGTACATCAAGCCAAGGGCTTATTTTGTATAGAGTTAGTACTCTTCTTTTGTGTAACCAGGTGTTGACTTGGAAAGCTGTAAGCCCATAGGGCATTTGCTTTTGTTGTTAACATGTAATACAGTTGTAAAAATTACTCTGATGAATAGAAATGATTGGTTTCTTTTATATCAATGCATGTCTTAAGTGATGTGTTTTTATGTATTTTTGAGGGCGTTACAGAACCTTAGAGTAGAGGGTTTCTTTTCACCAGGGTTGGGGTAGCAAAGTTTAGTTCGTTAGGTGAGAATATTGATGTTTGCGATGCCAAGTTTTCTTTCTCACATCATTCTGAATTATTTATTATTATGTTTTGATTGATTATTTTGTTATTTGATGGGAATACAATCAGTTTTTTGATTTTAATTGTTTTTTCACGATGTAATGGTTTGGCTGTGTGGTGGTGTCTCAGAGACGAGAAATATCACGAGGAGGGAGAACTAAAAGAGGTCCAATCCAATCGAAGATTGAAATACAAGGCAGTGATAGAGGAAAACACGCTGATTAATAGTAGTTCTTCTCTTGTTTCTGGTAGCGAAGGTGAGATCAATACACTTGCTCCTGACAAAAGCACACTTGAAAGTGAGAACTGGGGGGGGTGTGATTTTTGCAACTCAGAGTAAGCTTTATCTGCACTTCTCTTCATATCATTATGTTATTTTATTTATTGGCTTTTGGTTTAATTTTTCCATAGCAATTCATGCTTATTATGCATTATGGACTGAATTAGTAACATTGACTCGGATTCGACTGAATTTGAAATTGGGGGACTTCATTACGGTCCTTATAGCGACGATGACGGGGGACTTCATTACGGTCCTTATAGCGACGATGACGGCTTTGGGTATGAAATGAAGGAGACCAATTTTGTTTGGGATGGATGGTGAGTTTTTGTAGTAGTTACTCTTCTTGTTTATCACATACAAGTTTCAGTTGCCTTTACTTTTACTCAATAAATTTGTTCATGGTTGATTTGTGTTGAGGTTGTTAAAATTGGAATCCTACCTTCTGGATAATGATAAATTTGATATAATACATCTTTTATGCTACCATAAATTCTTAACTACACGCATTTGCATGTGCAATTCAAAAAAAAAATATATATATATATATATAATGTAGGTTGCTCAAGTAGGACGGACTTTCATTATTAAATCCAAGGCTATATATGGGTTCGAGGCTCATCCTCTTTTTTGCATAATTCTTACAAAAACTCCAAATATAACTCCGAATATAGGGGTGTTTTGGAAAAATCCAAAATATGAGACAAAAAGTGTCAACACCAATAGCAGCATTCACTTTATATATTAGAATAGATATGCTCCCCTTGTCCCAAACAAAGGTAATTAATATGCTCAAATTCTAATTCAAAAGTGTTGATTTCCATCGTTGTACCTTTAATATATTCTTTGGCAACATAAAACTTTTGTGCATTGACTTTTCAAAAGTGGACATGCGCATTGTGGTTGGGACGTCCAAAAATGGAATTATGGACTAACAAAATGAGACAGAGGGAGTAGTATTTACTAATAGTAATTATTAATGATAATTGTTAAAATTGTAACGAACATTGATTTTAGATTGAAATCCAGTTTTCATTTCTCCCTCCATTCAGTGGTTGGTGTACATTTGATTTTTTCCTCTTGCTCCTACTCCTCTTCCCCATTTTTGTCAATCTTTATTTTGTGGAAAAGGTTTATTTTCTTTCACATTACGTGGCACAATCTATAATTTTTTCTTTTGGGTTTGTTTCTTTATAGTGAATCCTTAGGAGTTTGGTGGTAGGATGGTTTGTTGGCTGTCATAGCGAGAGATGCTTCATTTGACTAGTTTTTTGGTGGTTCATAATTCATTTAATGGCTGAGAGGTTTTCGGTCTATGAAGGCCTCATTCAATTTATTGTGTCAAAATATAAATTTACTAACAGTATGAGAGTCAATTTGACTTGATGCACCTACTATGGATAATCGAACCAAACCAAACCAAAATAGGGCTTCTGTCCTCATCAAATAGGGTTGGCCACATGATTCTTTTAGCCATTTTGCTCTGTCAAGAGTTATATGTTCAATTAATTAAATAATTCATATAATTTCTTACTACCGCAATCCATGTCAATTTAGCTCTTTTCCTTCCTCTAACATTTCTATTTACGACGATCATATTACTGCTATGTATGGATAGAGTTTTCCTTTATGTATGCTTATCTTGTGATGTTGATCCCTCTTTCAGCGATAAACTTGTAATTTTACATATTAAGTAACATGTTTTTCTTACCAGAAAATAATCTATTTGACTCTTATTTAACACTTTTTTAAAAGTTATTGAAATCTCTCTCTCTCTCTCTCCCTTCTTTTTTTAATGAAGGTATTGTTTACTATAACGTTACTGAGAAATGCAAGTCTGTGGCCCTGTTTTCGGTTCCCAAAATCATATCCACTATGTATTCTCTTGTTCCTTGCTTATCTTTTTCTACATAACCGTTGAAATATCCACATAATTATTTTTATTTCCTATTGAAAAATCTAGAAATCCCCTAGATGTTGATTTGTGATTATGTATCAAATTTAAGCAGAATAAAACAATCCCAATCAAACAATCAAGACAAAGAGACACAATGATTTTAACGTGGAAAAAAAACCACAATTGGACACCTCCAACTGTGATAAAAAAACCACGGGCAACAGCCACAAGAACAATCCACTAAAAAGATTTAAAGGAATTACACAGGTATACTCTCAATTACCTAGCGAATCCACAACGCCTAATTGAACCAACCTCTATGTGCCTCTTCCAACCCCATCTTCACCACGGAATTGTCTTTCTGATGAGCCACTCCGGATTCCACCAAAGCTTCAGGCTCAAATTCTTCAGAATCCACAACTGAAGAATAACTCTCTCTTTTGTGTATAACAAACAAACCTTTGATGTACTCTCTTTAGATCATGAATTGAATATTCAATAAAAACATCAAAGAAAACAAGCAAAATCTCTCCAGATATAAACCTTAAGATCCAAAAATAAGATTTGGAGAAGTCCCATCAATTACTTAGTTTTTGGGAGAAAACCAAGTATTTATAGAGAACCAAAAGTAATCCTAGATTCAGAAGAAAACCAACTCCTTAATCAAATCTTGGAAATCTGGGATCGCGCGGTCTGTTCGAGCTCAACACAGCCCGCTCGAGCGGACTGACCAAAAACTGCGTGCGAACAAACTGAGATGCGCTCGAGCGTAGGAGAATCCGCTCGAGCGTAAAATCACACCCACCAGTATTTTTTGCTTGCCCTGACAAAATACTGAGACCTGTTAATCTACTGAGACCTGCTAATCTACGCTCGAGCTCACAAAAGCTCCGCTCGAGCGGACAGAACAAAAACACAAAAAATTACATTTGAATCAACACAATGTTTTGTCTCCGGAATTGACAACATAGGTAGTACCTTCTCTAAAAAGCACAATTCGGGTTGGATTCGCATCTAAACACATAGCCTCACTGAAATAAAAAGTGAAAATAAAATTACAACTCAAAGGAGTTTTGTCAAACGGGATTGCCAATAAATAAAACCTAACACCTATAAAATAAAATAGATATTTGTTGCATTAACTCATCCAGTTAATCCCAAAATTACGTTTTTAATTTGTTCCTCCAATCCTATTTGGGATTCATAGGCGCTAATCACATTAATTATAATTTTTCCCATTACAAGTTTAATTAACATGATTATGTTCTGCCTCCAATTCTTATAATTGTTACAACCTTATCTTTAGCAACAATTAATTGTACATCTTTTCTAGTTTTAATGTATTTTATATAAATATTTTCAATTGATAAGCGTAGTGTGGTCTATGCAAGTCATGGGAAATTAAGTTGGATGGTGCGTCTTTGTAGTCCCTACATTGTTGTTTTATGTCTTAAAACAATATTTTTACGTTCCCAGCTATCCCAATTTTTTTTACCCAACTGGTTTCCTATATATGCTTTGTCATTTGTGCTTTAGTAGTTCTTAGTTAAACAACTACCTACTGAACTAATACCTTGGAATTTTAATTTCTTCCTTCCTCGTTCATGGATGTGTTGGTATAACTATATGTTCTGTCGATAAAGGAATGTACATATATAGCTTCAAACCAACAAAATGGGTCCATCATAATTCAGACCAAGGGAATTGACTTTTTGAGAGTCCTTATTTCTTAGTAATGTAGATGCACCTAGACTCTTGTTTATAAATTATAATTATGGTGCATCTTTTTGTAAGCACCACTATGCCTTTCTTTCTTTTTAGATAATCAAGTCTCATTCTTGTTCACCTGTATTTGATTACTCATTCTTAAACATGGAAGCTGCTCTAATTGTGTTTAAACGAATGCTGGCAGATTATTATGTTAAAAGCAGTTCAGAAAAAGAAGACAGTAGAAAGGTATTTGCTCATTATAGAATGCTGAATATACTTGCCTGTATGAGAATTTGATCTTAACTCCCTCCCTCTTTTGCTGTCACTTTTTTAGGTGTTGACACGTGAACCATATGAGACCCATTTTGGAAAAAGCAATGTCAGGCAAACATTGGAGCTTGAAGGGAGTGGCCTAGCCACCAGAAAGGTTCCTTGGTTGTTTTATCCTTATTTGGGAAATGTAGAAAACAACCTTTTGTTGAAGGTCTATAAATTATTTGTTTATTTCATCTGTGTTCTTGATTTTTTTAGCGACGTACTTTTTTTATTCATGAAGTTTTTGAATTTTTTAATTGCTACTAGAGCATTTTAGGAAGGACATACATTTTGGATGCACGTTTTGAAGTATGGTACAATTTTGTTCCAAAGCAAGTAATTATCTATCCAAAGTGATTCCAAATTTTTTTTCCTTTGTTTTTCTTAGGGGAAAAATTAAATATAATGAACTAAAATCTAAGGAGCATTGCAGTTTTGGAAGGACAAAATGGGAAAAAATGCTCATAATGCTTATGAAAATGTGTTTTTTCATGATCAATTGAAAAAAATGTACTATTTTTTTTTGTTGGATGTCTAATCTTTGAAAGTAAATTGCTCTAGGAGTACCTTAAATTTTAATATTGTAATTTATACAAGTCTACCCCTATTGTTTCACATTTTAGTGCATGTGGTGTTTTATGTTCTTGTTTTAGTTCCCATTCCATATAGCATAACGATCCAAGTAACATGGGTCGAGACAGAGAATGGAAAATTTAGTTTTGGTAGTAATGGAAATTTTTTGTTTGTTTTGAATTCTATTGTATTCAAGGAATATGAATCTTTTTTTTTTCTTTAAATTTTATTTTGATGAGAAACTTTATGGTCTATTGATTGTGTGATTATGGGGCATATTATGAAACATTGATGAATAAGAAATTTATTTTCTGTTTAATGTATGATCGTGGAGCATATTATGGTTTCATTTCTTACTCTTTTTTCATCTTGACATTACGAAATGCTAAATCATGATGTCCCTTGGCATGTATGTATGCATTGTCATAAGGTGATTCAATTATTATTACTTTCACTGCAGCACAACCATCTTGGTTGATAATCACTTTTGATAACTAATTGCGCTTTGGAAAACGTTATTTGAACACTAGATTGATTATCAAGGCCAGCATAATTTTCATGATCCATTCTCAGAAATTGCCTTTGCAAAAGGGCAAATGGGCATAGTTTATTAATCACACTAGCTTTAGCCAAAACATGTATTTTTGGGTGATTTATGCTGCGTGTCCATTAAAAATTAACATAATAATAGTTAATTTGTACTAAAAGGATGTTAACTGATGTTGTCTTATTTTGCCTTAAGTCCCTTTTGTCCATTGGTAGGTGTGGAAATTGAAGTATAAAAATATGGAATGATATTGCTTTTGATTTATCTAAAGATATATTTAACCCTTTTTTTTTCGTTTTTACTTCACTTATTGTGCATTGCTTATCAATCCCTGAATTTTACCAAATTTATATTTTTAGGTAGTACAAGATGCCTCGTGGTTTGGGCCAATCAAAGAAGAACAACACACCAAGATTGGTAAGGTTATTGTGGTATTAGCCCATGGAGCGATGTGTTATGTTATGTTTTGTTCCTTCAAGGAGCTAATCAAAGACAAGGATTACAATACTGTTGGCGAAAGTGTGTTTAAAAGTATTGTTAAGTTTGTCTTGAGTGTTTTTGATATAGTAAATTCTAAATTCTACCTTAATGTGCCTGTGTCCAATTTTTTGTGGATATTGTTTTTGGTAGTAGTCTCGCAGAGCTTTCATCAATTTTCTGTGGTTTAATATTTGCTTTAGTCTTGTGTAACTAAAAAAATTATTTGATGTTTTGTTCAACATTTAATGTAGGTGCATTAGATTTCTATTTTGTTATGTTTGAACAACTCATGGATTTGATGGTGATTCATTATATGTTTGTCAAGTAAGATTTAGATGACTAGATCTAAATTTCACTAGGTGGATATGGCCGAGCTTGATTATGAATGAGTGCCGATAGGAATTCAGGGTGGATGTGTCATTTTAACTTGATGTGTGCCGAATGAAAATAGTGAAGTAGTTATATGTGATTCTCCATTGTGCTACTATGGTGGGTTAAGAATGGTTGTCTTGTGTCCATTGTCAATTGACTAATGCAAGGATTTTAAATATCAAATCATTTTTGCTCAATTAGTGTTCATCTTATATATTGGTGTTCCTTTTGTTTTGATGGGTTAGGGACTATATGAATCATGGAACCCTCACAATTGCTTTAGTGTTCATCTTATCCTTTTTTTAATTTTATATTGCTCTACTTTTTAAAAGGTGAGTTTTGTAGTTTGAACTAGTTGACTGCTACTTGATTCTCACACAAGTGCTTCTTAGGTCAATCAATTACATTGTTCTTGATCATTTCATGATGTGCGTTTTGTCTTGTTTTTATTTGAACTATTTTTCTTGTTATCATTGTTGTTGTTTTTGTTATAATGGTGGTAGATTATAATATTATAGTATGAATCTCTTTGTTGCATGGGTTTTTATGGTTTGGAAGGTCTCTTTCATAGTGCACTTACATTGAATTTATAAAATGATACACATTGGGGGTTGCCGGTATGTGATTTTGCTGTTGTAAATGTATCACTTTCGTCTTGTGTCATTATTGATGTATCTTCTTCTGATATATTTAATTAACATAATTTTTGTTTTTTTGCTATAGCTGTGGTGTTTCTCATAATATGTTTGAATTTACACAAGTGTTTATAGGGTGAATTGTTAAGGAATGTTGGTTCCATTGCTCTCATTTTCATTTACTTTTATATTCCAGGAAGATTTTGAGAAAATATTTGATCAGAGTGTGGTTGAGGATGAGTACTCAAAATTATGTGAAATTCTTGACTCTGTAAGAATTTTTATATACAAGAAATTTTTTTCTTTTTTGGTTGTTTACCTGTTCTCTTTTTCTCATATGTGAAAACACCTTTTTCCATGTGCAGTGTAAATGTGATCCTCTTGTAGCTATTGCTGAGGGGAAGGTGAAAGTTGATCAATTTTCCACGCTAAGGGAACATGATCTTTGTGACACTATACGGGTAAGAATCTTCCTTTTTCATTCCTAGCAATTGCTTTGGCTTTTATAATTGTTAGAATGTATCAGGGACGGATCTACAGTAGGACCAGGGGTAAGAATCTTTCTTTCCCCGGATTTTTGATAATTCTGTTAGTACCCTAACATATATAAATTATATATATCCTTCATAAAATTGTAACAGTGCCCTCCTTAAAATGGTGATGATGTCCCTTCTATTAAGGATTTTCTTTCTAATTACAAAGATTCTACTAATATGAGTCCTTCTACCATACACTCCACAAAAGGGTATACCATATACAAGTTATGATATTTCGTGGTGTTAATACCATAAAGTGTTAGAACTAAATCATTTTTGGTTATAACTAAAAGGAATTTGCTAGCACCCCAAAGTTGGAGAGGGACCAACGAAAAGAAAAAACACATAACCAAGGGCATGGGAGAACAACCCAACCATAAGGTAACTATCTGAGTGTGTTGCTATAAGAAAGCCAAAGAGATCAACAGCAGCCTTGTGAAGACCAAATAGATACTCTGACCCCATGTGAAGATATAACATACACTACTCCCACCAGACGTGATTAACAGCAGCAAGACAGTGGCAGTCCTCTACAACCCCAGACAGAACTAGACTCCATTTGACAGTAGCACAGAACTAGATTATCCATTTGACAGTAGCACCCAAGCATTGAGCCTGCATTGCCTGTGAACTACATTCCTTGAATTCCCAAGAACAATACTGCAGCCTTGTTAAGACATGCACACAGCAGCACAAAACTAGTTTATCCATTTGACAGTAGCACCCAAGCATTGAACCTGCATTGCCCTTTAGACATTCTAAAAACTCAGTAAAATCAGTCACCTTAACATATCAGAAGCCTTCCACAATTAGCAAGCTAACACTCACACACAACAGCAGCCTTGTTCTGAAGCCTTCCACAATTAGCAAGCTAACACTCACACACAACAGCAGCCTTGTTCTGTCCAGCAGAGCAGATCAGAAGACTACAAACTGTCTGCAAGCTAACAAACTCCACAGGACATCCATAAAAGACCCAGTTTACAACACAAGCAGCTCAGAACAGTTAAGACCATCCTCTGATTTGACGCCAATTGAGGATTAAATCATCAACGGAATAAGGAAGATCTTTAATTGATGCTTTCAGCCAAAGTATTGCTCTAAGCTTGATATTTTCACTAAAGCCAGAGAGACTAGGTTGAGCCGCTGCAAAGACACATTCATTCCTAAGTTTCCAAAGCGACCAGAGAACAATAAGGGGGATGGCTCTCCAAATTAACCTATCAAAATTTTTGAGCTTGACAGTCATCCACCATTGGAGGAGATCATCCACTGATCCTTGAATGCACCAAGAGAACCCCCACTCATTAATTATAGATGACCAAATCAACCAAGAAAATGGGCAATGAAGCAAGATATGGACAGCAGATTCAGGTTCAGAACGACAAAATGGGCAGATGAGCGAAGCAGAAGCATCTAAGATGCCAATTCTGTGCATAAACACTGCTGTCTTGATTTTGTTTTTCCAGGCCAGCCAAGTAAAGAATGAAACCTTAGGGGGGACTGCCCCATTCCAGATATGCTTGCAAATGTTAAAATGAGGCCCTAGGCTAGAGTTAGAGGCAGAGTAGAGTAAGGACACGGAAAATACACCAGGACTTGCAGATGCCGAAGCCCAGATAAGATGATCAACTCTGCCGATTGACAGAGATGGAGCTGAAGATAGTAGACCAAGTAAGTTAGCTTCTTCTACCAATTCCCAACTGAAAAGCACTCTCCTAGTGGGAAAATTCCAATTGTTTGGGCTAGATTTTCTTGCCATGAATTGTTGTAGAGAGCCTTCTTTATCTGTTGAGAGATTAAAGAGAAGGGGAAAGGTAGACTTGAGACTAGAGCTGCCACACCATCTGTCACGCCAAAATTTAATCCTACTCCCGTCCCCCACTAGGATTTGGCAGTTGTCTATATAGAGATTGTAAATATTTGTGCTATGAATCCCAATCGATAATATGTCCTTCCAAACTCTAGAATGTTTGTAGGAGGACTTTAAGGGTGGATGCCAACTAGCCTCATCAATATTGTATTTGCTACATATAGCTCTCCTCCAAAGAAAGTTTACTTGAGTTCCAAATTTCCACCACCATTTGAGCAATAGACAAGCATTCATATCTCTTATTCTTCTGATACCCAGGCCCCCTTGGTTCAAGCTTTTGGTTACCTCCCCCCATTTCACTAAATGCACTTTCCTTTTAAGATCATTACTGCCCCATAAAAAAGCTGCCTCAATCTTTTCGAATTCTTTTGCCACACCTTCTGGCATCTTAAACAAAGAAAGAAAGTACACTGGTAAACTAGATAGAGTAGACTTGATTAGGGTTAATCTACCTGCAAAGGATAGCAGTTTCCTCTTCCACCCTGAGAGTTTAGATCTGATCTTGTCAATCACGGGCTTCCAGGTAGATTTTTTACCAGGATTGGCACCTAGAGGCAGTCCCAGAAATTTCAAAGGAAGGCTATGGACTTTGCAGTTAAGAAGATGTGCAAAGGAGAGCAATAAAGTATCAGACACACCGACACCACACACCACGCTTTTGTGGTAATTAATTCTAAGTCCAGATAGAACTTCAAAGCACCTGAGAATTCTTTTGATAAGTACCATTTGATCCCAGTCTGCCTCAGAAAAAAGAATTGAGTCATCTGCAAATTGTAGGTGAGACAAGAGGACATCTTTGGATCCGACATGAACACCTCTAAGAATGCCAAGGTTAATTGCTCTGACCAAAAGAATGTTTAGCCCCTCGGCCACGATATTGAATAGGAAAGGTGATAACGGATCGCCCTGCCTTAGCCCTCTTTGTGGTGAGAATTCCTTAGTTGGAGCCCCATTCACAAGAATGGAAATCCTAACTGTAGACACACAAGTTTTCATCCAAGAGATCCATTTGTTACCAAACCCGAAACTAGATAGCAGAGAGAACAAGAATTCCCAGTTAACCGAATCAAAAGCCTTTTCAAAATCTAGCTTTAAGATCAAACCATTCTTGTTGGTCTTCTTCCAACCATCTACCACTTCATTGGCAATGAACACCCCATCAAGGATGTTTCTTCCACCTATGAAAGCAGTTTGAGTTTCACCAATAATTGAGGATAGGGCTGGCTTCAGTCTATGTGTTAACACTTTTGCCAAAATTTTGTACATGGAGCTTACAAGACTAATGGGTCTGTAATCGGATAGGCCGGAGGGATTTTCCAACTTAGGAATTAAACTAATGAAAGTGCTATTAATCCCATAAGTCAGTTTGCTATTTGTGTGGAAATCTGCAAAGAATTGCATGATCTCAGGCTTCATAGTCTTCCAAAATTTCTGATAACACAACAGATTGAAACCATCGGGGCCTGGGGCTTTGTTATTATTACAATCCTTAATTGCAGCCAACACCTCAGCTTCACTGAACTCTGCAACAAGATGGTGAGAAACATAGTCTGCCTCAATGGTGTTGAATGGCCCTCCCAAGACGGGTCTTTTGACCCAATCCTCAGCAAACAACTTCTTGAAGTGTTGGTAGACCTCTAATTGAACCCTGCTAGGATCCTCATAGGACACATCGTTAACTACTATAGAGCTGATCATGTTTCTACTGTGTCTGGTATTAGCAAAAACATGGAAGAATCTAGTGTTCTTATCCCCATTTAGGGTCCAGTTCAATCTGGATTTTTGGTGCCAAATCCACTCCACCATTCTGAGTAAATGCCACATTTCACCTCTGACCACTCTTCTTCTTGACCTCCCAGAGTCATCCAAGAGACCATCCTCTGCTAGGATGTCTAATGTATGCAATTCCGCCTCTAAAGCCTTGAGTTTGGATGTGACATGTCCAAACACTTCCACATTCCATTTTTTTAACTCTGTCTTTAGCTGCTTTAATTTTTGAACAATTCTGAATCCGGCCCACCCTGTAACAGTAGTGCTGGTCCAAATGTTGACAAAGAACTTAGAGAAGCTTGGATGGAGAGTCCAGGCGTTGAGAAACTTGAAAGGCTTGGGACCCCAGTCTCTTTCATCTTCCATCAACAGCAGAGGACAGTGATCAGAAACTAGTCGAGGCAGGCCCCTTCTATTAAGGATTTTCTTTCTAATTACAAAGATTCTACTAATATGAGTCCTTCTACCATACACTCCACAAAAGGGTATGCCATATACAAGTTATGATATTTCGTGGTGTTAATACCATAAAGTGTTAGAACTAAATCATTTTTGGTTATAACTAAAAGGACCATAATAAATAATAACCAAACACGACGGCTTCAGTCATAACCTAAAAATAATCCCAATAGGTTATAACTAACATCGCAATGAGTCATAACCAAAATAATAGTCACAAGAAATTATAACTAAGTTATAACCAACACTACAATGAATCATAATTAATACCATAATGTGTCATAACCAAGGTTATAAAGATCATAACTGCGACATGCAATACACACTTTTTTGCAATTGGTTTTTATAGAATTTTCCTAATAAATATATCATTTCTATTTCGACTTATCATCTTTTATAATTTTCCAATCTACTTATAATAGTTATTCTCCAATATTTTAATAAAATTTAACCTTAAATCCCTTAATTTGAAATTCATATTTATCCAAATGGACTTATAATATTTAAGTTTAGAAATATTTCATTGTTGTTTATTATGAAAAAAAAAATCAATATTGCCTTTATGTAGCAACATAAATGTAGTGCCGAAAGAAAGTAGAAAGCTGATCAATTTTCCAAACTGCGGGAACATGATATTTATGATGACAGAACAGAGGTAAGAATCTTTCTTCCTCATTGCTAGCAATTGCAATGGCTTTAATAATTATTGTTAGTTTGTAAGTTTCTCATTTAAATATTTGTCTTGATGCAACTATAGCCATGTAGTGCCAAAAAAGAAGTTGAGGCAATTTTTTATTTTATTTTGTTTTCTAGGTTGTGAAATAAATGTATTCTTGAATGTTCATTGTGGTAATTCATTTTGGTTATGTTGGTTGATTGACTCTAAGATATTTTTGAAGTGTGATAGTTGTCAAGCCAATTTTTAATGCATTGTTTGGATTTAATATTTTATAGTACCTCCCTGACCCTATGGAAACTAGATAAGCATACCATCAATTTATTATAAATTTTCTTGAGGTTTGTTTCGACGGCATTTATATACTATCAAATTGGGAATTTGGTCTTAGGTAGCATTTGGTATCAGAGTTAGGTCAAGTACCTAGTAATTTTGCTTCACCAGTAGGCGACAACCTTGCCTTGGCTGCCCGCTAGATCTCAACCCATTCCATTGCTATATTTTCTTTCAGTATCACTTCGTGGTGATCTCTAACTTTATCCACTAGTTTATTCCTATCCCAAATATCTCTATCATTTTTTTTTTACTTGCAATGCATTTTTGGGTGTGTTTTTGTTTCACTTTGTCTTTCCCTCTATTTCAACCTCAAATAGGTTTCCATCTTCAAACCTATTTGAGTTTGAGGAGGGGTATTGCACCTATATCATGGTGAGCATGGTGATATACCATGTGAACCACCTAAGCCGCCCCATCTGGCACACAATCCAAGTCACCCCCTCTAGCACACAACCCAAGTTGCCCCCTTGGCGCACCACCTAAGCAACCTTCTGGAGTATTTTCTAATAAGCCGCCCCTTGGCGCACATAGTCATCTATTGCCATCATCGTTTAACACCACATCATAAGTTATGTATGTACCATACTTGCTGGTTCAACATCCAGTTAGTCTCTACAACGGTCCAACATGACCCCTTAAATTGTCCTGACATTGATTCCGGTCAGTTCCTACAATGGTCGGGCATGATCCCTTTAAACTGTCCCAATATTGATTTTGGTCAGCTTCTTCTAGGGCAGTTCAGTTCAGTTCTTTTTTTTTTTCCCCCTTTTTAGGGTGTGGTGTTGATGTATTAAGCACTTTTTGACTTTTTTTTTTATTTAGTGGACTACCAGATTTGTTCGGTAGCATTTATTTGGACTAGCCATTGAGTTTTTTCCGGCTTCTTCCAGTCATCCATTGACAAGCTGTGATTGTTGGATATCTTCACACCAGCTTGAGGGGGACTGTTGAATATAGAAATTAGAGTATATAGAATCCTTTTATTTTTAGTATTATGTGGGTGTTTGGGAAGTGACTATTTTCTAAGCTTTTTGGCTTTTTGACTATTTTAGTATGGTATTTTAGTTTTTGTGTTCAGGAAGATGGATTGATTTTTTTGTTTGATTGTTGTATTGAAAAATGTGTTTGAAATGATGTTGAGATAAAAAGTAATTAAATTATTCCCAAAAAGTTGTGCCTGATGTGATGATTGATTTGTTGGGATATGAAATGACTAAATTGCCCCTGTGTGTTGAAATGCTAAGTTGGTGGGTTAGTCAAAAATTGAAAGGGCAAAAACATAATTTTAAATCTGCCTTGGACATATCAAATCTTCCCTGCACAGTCATGAATCTGTCCGCGTCAGTTTTTGATTAAAAAAAAAAAAAAAACTCAACTATAGTACAACTTTTTGGCTATTTGAATGAGGCTAAAATAGCCTCTCAATCTCCTTCCCAAACACCGCCTATGTATATAATCTGTGATTGTGTCAATCATTAATTTAGTATTGTTTTTTTATTTATATCATTTCTTAAATTGTATCATGAATTTATTATATATACATGGCATCTACCTCATTGATGGGAAAAGCCAAATAATTCTTTTCATTCTTTTGTATGCACTAATGAGCTGAGAATTCAAGCTGAAGTTGGAAATTGTTCCTAACCACCCTTGCTTCCACTGCCACCATTCCTTACTCCACCTCTCTTAATGTCTATTGCTCTATCTCTCTTTCTGTTCTTTAACCTCCAACCCCTCCCCTATCTCGATCTTGATCTCGATCTCGATGTGGTTACAGGTCTTTATGTTAGAGTTACTTGCTGATCTCACTGTTCGTCACTGTAAGTTAAAGAAAGAGATGAGGACGGAGGTTATGGGCAGTGTGCGGTGTTAATGGTGATTGCTATGGCTGTAGATCTGGTGGTGTTAGCCTTGATTTCGATGTTGTTGGTGGTTGGGGATAGAAGGGAGAGATTGAGGTTGGGGCGGTGGAGGGTTCAGATGCTAAGGGGGAGATGGTGGGAGGCCTTTTAGTGGGGAGCTATGGGTTTGAAAGGTTGGGTGGGCTGGGGTTGGGTTTTTGGTTTGAGGTTTTGGATCTAACTTGTGCATATGTGGCCCCACGTGACAGTTTCTGCCTGAATTTGGAAGGAAGTTAGCTTCAGGAGTAAATTGGGAAAATTTTGAAACGTGAAGGGCCGAAAGTGAAAAAAAAAACCATAGGGCCGGCCAAAGTGAGAAAACGGTCAAACTTAAGGGGGCAAAGTTTAATTTACCAATTTAGAAGTACGGATAGCAACAACAGTCAGCTTTGGGGCTGATTTTAATTGGGTGTTATAGCTGAAATTGCCATAAGAGTAGAGGACAGGTAGGGTTTGTTTAGGGTAATAAATGGTTAAGAGTTTAAGCATGAAAAGATGAGATTTTTTGGGGCTGTTTTAGGGCTGTGAACAGGTACCCATAAAACAGTATTTGGGCTGTTGAAGTGTAGAAAATAAATGAGAGAAAGAAGGAGAAGAAGATAGTTCCTAGGAATCACTCATTGAGGCCTTAGGCATCACACTTAAGGGTTGATTGCATTACACAATCCATAAGAAAGCTTCGAAGTTGTTAAAATTGTCTAAGGCCCAATTAGGTTAGACAGAGAATACATGAAAGTCAACGAAAAAAGAAAAAAATAATTTTTTGTGTTTCTTTAGATAAAGAGTTCTCGAAAGTAATGGAAACTAAAGTTTCCCGTACAACTCAAATTAGCTTGTTAGTTAAGCTTATAATTTTTTTTTTTGCAAAATATACAATTTCCACAAAACTTGACGAAGAGTATATTGTTTTCCGCTTTGCCTATACTTCTCTGAACAACCCCCTGTTATGCGGTGATTACATTTGTTTCCATCCTTTTCTTGCAAATTTTTTTTTTAATCTATTCAAATGCATGCAAGAAACTAAAGTTTCATTTTTTCCCTCTCTTTCACTTCACTTTTTACCATTTTCATTTTCTATCATTCGTTTCTTTCTAAACAAAAACGGGGCCTAAAATATCAATTCCATTGAATCAAAAGCATTACATGACTTAATATAAAATTCGAAGATTTCCTAGACCAACTAGAACAAAAAAAAGTAAACGACTAAAATTTTGACTTTCAAAACCTATCTAAGACCAAATAAGAAACATAACTAAAAATTAATTTATTAACTTGACCCACATGATGACCCATGGGCGACCCCTACAACCCATGATAGCAAATATGAAAATTACCAAAATACCCATGACCTAAAAACTCTAAAAAAAACAAAAAATAAGACTTTAATAAAAAAAAACTTGAATCCATGGCAATTTCCAAATATTGCCACTTCTTAAACTCTTTCTTGCTCTTCTGGTGGATTGCATCAGCTAACTTCCTAAGAATCAGGACTGAAATTGGGATTTATTTCACCCTTTTGTGGACAAAGATTTTTTTTTTGGGCTGCTGTCTTTCCTTTGTTGTAAGTACCTTGGTAGTCATGACTGCCTGTATGACTTTATTTATTTTTCCTATTTTTCTTCATTTGTCTATTTATTTTTCGGATGTAAATTGTTTTTAGGAAGTTTAATTTTTTGTTCATACTTTTTGTTATCGGTTCTTCGTCCGTGGGTTTTTCCTTTTTTTGGTCCCGAGGTATTATTTTCTTCAGTGTGTATATGATAATGTTGTCCAATTATTCTAGACAGGATTATTTCACATGGTTATATTAACTTATTTCCAAAGATAATTTACTGAATCTTGCTAAGTTGATTATTAATTTTATGGATGTAGTGGAATGATATTAGCCCAAACGAAGTAGCAATTGCATTGGAGATGCTTAGGAATTATGAGCCTCTGAAGGTACGAACTTGGCAGTTTTTGTGTTCTTGACTTCTTTGTTGAACTCTTAGAAATTTGTCACTATTGTTTGTCCTTTTTTTAGAGTAATTTTTCTTAACATTCAAAAGAGTTGTGCTAAATTAACATCATAATTAGTTCTTCAAGTTCTATTCTATAAAATCTGGTGCTTCTATCCAAATCTTTTGCTGACATGAGTTGCAGCTCCAGCATGACGTGTTCTAAACACTCATTGTTTGTTAATTTAGTAGTTGGAGCACATTTTTCTGTTTCGCTTTGGTTTCTTTATCAGTTTTTTTTTTTGGGTAAGGTTCTATATTATTTTTACATTCTAAAATTTAAGTGTTCGACTTTTAAAATTTAGTCATCAATTTTAATCATATGTCTGATATGTTGTCCATTGAAAACCAGGAAGATTGTAAAATGCAGCTTACCTTGGAGTTGACAAATGAGAAAAGTTATTGTATTCTTGATTCTTTGGTTTTAGAGGCTTTGGGGGGCGTTGACATTGAATTGCTACGTAATTGTTTACCTAAAACAGCAGATGATGTGTTTCTCGTTGAGGATGTTACTTTTGCATGCTCAGTTTTAGCTGATGGCTTATTCATTGGGCTCTATGAATTGGCTGCTATGAAAACATCAGCGGTATCACCCTCTCTCTGCTCTTTCCCCCCACCCCCTTTCACTTAATTTGTCTTGTATGTGTGGAAATATTACAACTTTATGTAAATGGATGAATCAAAGTGCTTGTTTTATGCATTTTTCTCTCTTTATACTCTTTTTTTTTTGGTGGTTTTCTGTTCCATATTTGAAATGGCCTTTCTTGAGTTCCTAAGTTGCACATACACTATTAAGATTTTGGCATGTTCATGTTGGACGCTTCTTGACATGTGTATAACACACATCCTAACTTTTGCTATTATTATTTTTAAAATTGTTTGTATAACTAGACTAACTTTCCACAGTTGGGGTTATACATGTTTTTTGCTTACGCAAACATGAAATTCTTAATGTTAGGAACAATTTTTGATAATTTATTTAGATGTTGACTTTCTAAAATTGATGTTGGACTTTTTGTTCTCACTTCTTTTCTCATTTATAGAATGTGTGAAATGATTTCTTATACTAAAATAAAATAAAAAATTATTTTTAAAGTAAAAATGAATAGAGTTATTATTTGGGTAAATTATATTGATTTTCCCCGAGTAATGATGTAGTTTGAGGAACTTTTATCGACCTCCCATATGGTAATAATAGTTGTAATTGTTTTAATGAGGGTGATGGAATTTCTGTATTACCTTTAGGTACTTTGCGTTTAAATGTGGACACGGACACAGCGTGGACAAGCCGATATATTCTATTTTTTATTTACTACATAAATTAATACTACATCCACAAACAAATAATTCGATATTTTACAAACAATCCGAAGTGTCCTTGATGTGGCCCCGACGTGTCCTTGAAAAAAATTAATTAAATAAACCGGCACACCGGATGGCGTGTCACGTACGTGTCCCTATGTTCAATACCTCTATGACACTTTTGAAGTGTCAGTGCTTAATAGATTGTCGCACATTAATATCCAAACATCTACCAAAAATGCTAAAACAAGTTATATTCCCTTACCAAAATATAATTCAATGGCTAAGAATAAAACATTTGAAATTCTATGGCTACTACAGGTTGCGTTTGGGTTTATAGTGGGTTCCTTCATGTCCACATGCTGACATGAATTATTGTATGGATCTTGCTCAGTTTACTTGTGTTCAACCCTAAATCAACCAATTTAATATTCGTGTTGTCGTGTCGTTTAATGTTTAATGTTTGTGTTTGTGTCAAATTGTGGAAAACAGTAAACTAATTCTCATTAAAAGAAAATGTATGAGCACAATTCATATATATACAAAATAATAACAGATAATCTGTTATGATCTGTAACAAGCTATAACAAACTAACAAACTACTAACAATCTTATTAACTACATAACAGAATTACTAACTAACTAACTAGCTGCAATAGAGGTTGCTTTAACAGGCCCTTGCAAACACATGGGGGAAGACACCATGAGTTTGTCTTTAAGATACTGGAACCGAGAGACAGCCAACGGTTTGGTAAAAATGTCGGCCAACTGATCAATGGTGGGAACATAATGAAGAGACAGCCGTTTAGCAAGCACTTGTTCCCGAACAAAATGGCAATCAACTTCTATATGCTTGGACCGGGAATGAAACACCGGGTTGGAAGCCAGAGCAAGAGCAGACAGATTATCGCACCAGATCACAGGTATAGTAGGAGAAAAGACAAACAAGTCAGCAAGTAACATACGGAGCCAACTAACTTCAGCAGCAGCATGGGCTAAAGCCCGATATTCAGCCTCGGTGGAGGAACCTAAATAAAGTTACTGTTGAATTAATCTTCAGTTTATGCTTCAACAAAATTTGTTCTCGTCCCCTATCACTAGCGCCACAGACTAGTTCTTGTTGTTTCATAGGTTTTCCTAGTTTTATGTGTTCTATGCCCTGCATGTTCAAGTGGTTCATATATTTTTGTGGTGTACTTTTGATTAATCATTTTTCCTGCCTTCATTTCTGCTGTTTTCAGTTACTGTAGTGCATCCTGGGTGGGTGTTCTGTTGGTCTCATCGAATTCCTTAGCTTCTTGCATTAGGGGTGTACATGGATTAGCTTGGTTCTATTTGGGGAAAACCATGAACTGCACCAATCTGGGAGCAATAAACCGCATGTCTAAACGATTTAATACGTTTATAAAAAATAAAAATAAATTGGACCTGCACAGGGGACTGGTTTTTGAAAGAAAAAGAACCGGTTCAGACTAGTTTACGGATTAGTCAGTTTTTGTTTGACAGCCCTATCTTGCATTTTTTGGTCATGTAATTTTTGTTGGTAAGAATGTGTACATGAAATTGGTAATTGGATCGTGGTGCCTTGAATCCCATTCGCAATGCTCTCTCTACGGTTTCTATTTTATGTCTCCTTTCATGATGTTGGTTGTTTTGTTTTGTGTTTTTTGTTTTTTTGTTTTTTATTTTTTTACAGTTGCTGTACTTCCAGGAAGCTGTAATTTTTCCTTTGTCAGATGGTTGCTTTGGACCTTTTACAGATGAGTTCATTGAAGTGATTAAAATTGCTGACCATGAGAGAAGAATGCAAGGTGATCGTTTCATCAGTGTAAAGCATCTTTTGTTTGGCCTTTCACTTTCAAGTGTTCGTAGATGTGTTGAGATGATGTTCCATGGTAGAGTGCTAGATTATACAGGTCAATTAGCTTTGAAGCTCTCATCGTTTAGCATTTACAAGTTATCGCACGATGCAGCTACCATTCTTGGTTAGATTTTTATTTTTGTAATGTCCTCAACATCCTATTGAATTTACTCGTTATAAATTTATATTGCCGCTGGATATTATGAATCTTTTTATTTTAAAATGGAGGTAAGTTGGGCTGTTCTGGAAATATTTAAGGCATTAAATTGCTAGTTCAGCCTTAACGTTGCTTTGGGTTCGGTTGAGGAAACTGGATTTGTCCAGTTGGTGGATGTAGTAGGTTCATGCATATTCATGTTCCCCCCTCACACCTGAGCATATATTTCGCAGGTGATAAGAATGTTGGACTTGAGCACTTGGTTCTGGAAATTTTCTATGGAAAGCAAGAAAATGATCGTACAGGGACGGTAAGGTCTATTTATTTGGGTATCCTTTTTGTTAGGTCTTCCCATCTTCATTGTTATGGATAACTAACCAAAACGGAAATGTCCACTGGCACACAAATATTGGTTAGTTATCCGTGCTACTTTTTTCCAGCATATTTTGCTTGGCAACATGGGGTCTTGTGCTTGCTATTATGTTAATTATGAGTGACTTTTCCATAATTATTATTTTATTTCACTTAAAGGCTGCACAGGATGATTGCAGTTCTTTGTTCTTCGACGAGAAGAAATGGGATGATTACCTCTTGAAACGTAAGAATCAAATATCCATTCATTGTTTATATGATATACACAAATGTTTAGATATTTATATAATATATATATATATATATATCTGTAAATGGAGTTTTATTCAATTGACTTCTTGGGCTTATTTTTGCCTTTTGCAATCTTCCCTCTCCCCAGATTTAAGATAGAGGGATGAGTGTGATTTTGCAAGCTTCAATGACAGTGATTCTTTCAGATCGTTGCTACCCGAAGATTGTTTGTCTTTTGGTAGATCGGCGGCATTATGTGGCTTTTCTATCGTGGATGAGCTGCACAAGGCTTTAAAGTCTGGCTTGAAGTTGAACGCTATTCGGGGGTAGAATTATTACCTTCCCTTTTGTGGGCTGGTTTGGCTTCCACTGTATATGCTGTTTGATACATTATGAATGCCCTTGTGAACATGGCTGGAAGGTTATTATTACTTTCAAAATAGGAATATATATTGCAAGTGAAGCCCGTGTTTGACTTATTTATTTGTTTATCTTTTTGGCTGAAAATTGCTTAATTTACGTTTCATGTCAAAAGTATATTGATGATAAAAAAAAGTGGTTAGACATCCTCAAGTAAAGCATGTGGAAGACCAAAGGGTTATACTAGTTCATGACCACTTAATAATATACAAAGCTGACATACTCGATTGGTCCCTGTTGGTCTATTGGCCCTTCTACTGTGTATCATACAACGTAATCACTGACAACCAAACAAGGAAAGGGTATTGTATTTTACTCAGTTAATGATAAAAGTTTAGTTGATACATAATTCTATCTCCATGTATATACACACGCATAAGAAAATCCAAGAGAAGCACATTAATATTTGTGTACAAATAAAGGTTTTTTTCTTGGGTGTTCCAAATAGAAGCCTGGGCCTTCCTGTTCTGTCACCGTATGTCGGTGGGCATAATTTCGATTAGAGTGGCAATTTTGACCCGCATCTTTGAATCTACCCACGCCCGCCCGTAATTTATGGATTTAAAAGTGCTTGTTTATCAAGTGGGTTATAATTGGGTAATATATATAGGTTTGTGCGGGCTGTTATTGGGTCATTGAAAAAATTAGAGGGTTGTTATTATTACTTAATGATGATACTGTCCGTCCTAGGCGGATGGGTCGGGATGGCCCAGGCTCTCCAGGTTCCGGTTCAGGGTGACGATTCCACCAAATGACCTGCAAGCAAGTCCAAAGGGGAACGGGGTAGTCCCCCAGTGAACCCTCTGGCGAGTGAATTAGTAGAGGAAGAAGGAAAAAATGCAGAGAGAGAGAGGGAAAAAGAGATAGAAAAGCCTAACCTTCCTCTTGTCTCTAATTCTTGCTTATATCCTTTGGTAATCATTTCACTGTCTCTCGTGACGTGCCTGCTTCCGCCGAAAGCCTGTGCCGTAGCTTACCTTGTTCAGGGTGAGCGGGCTCTGTTCCGACGGGGAGGTGTTGTCGTAATAAATGCTGTGATGGGATGCATTAATGGTGATGTGTTGTGGTAATAACTCTGCAGATCTTTGTCTGCTGACGTGGCCCGTGTTCCACCTGCCACGTGCCCGAATGCCATTGGCCCCCCGTGACTAGATGGCCTCCAGCTGTCCTGGGCTTTGCCAACCGGGTTATGCTATTGGTCCTAAGCGATGGGTTCGGGGTAGTTTGCTGTGGGCCGTATGCCTCGTGGGCCTGTCCATGTCACTTAATTTCTTTGGACTCTTCAATTCTTATTTTTTTTTAATTACATTTATTTCCTGAAATATAATTTTATTAAAGGACAATCTTTAATGAAACACCAACTCACCAAATAAAGACAATTTTATGATATCATACTCACCTACCTCCCCCACCTAAACGTATTCCTCACTCATCCAAATCCAATGTATTCTTCTTCATCAACGTTCCTTTTCATCAATTTCCCAAATTCAATGTATTTCTCTTCATCACCATCCTAAACCCTAAGATATAATTGGAACATGTGAGGGATGAACTAAGAACAAAAATATAAAATTAATTTTATAAAGGTGTGTATTGAGAAATTATATATACAGAAATAAAAAAATTGTGTGAAAATAGAATTTGCCAAAATTTTGGCATGGACGCATGCGTGTTGTTTTGGAGAGACAGAGAACGACTTTTAGTTTGGGCTTATTGAAAGGAGTCTCTTGTTTTCAGGGAGAGACAAAGAGTTTTTTTTATAAGTGAAACTGCGAAGCATAGAGAGAGAGAGAGAGAGAGAGAGAGAGAGAGAGAGAGAGAGAGAGTGAGTGAGTGTGAAACTTACGGAGAGACATAGACCGACTTAGGCCTCGTTCGTTTTCAGAGGTAAAATGGAGGGGATTGATAGTGATGGGATTGTTAGTGAGAGGATTAAGTAAAATTGTATTTGTTTTGATGATAGTCGTTAGTGTAGGGATTGTTAAATTATTTTTATATAAAATAATAAAACAAACAAAAAAAATACAAAAACATTAAACATTAACGTTTTAAAAAAATGCCCAACATGAAATTTTTTTAAAAAAAATAAAAATAAAATAAAAAAATTTCAGAAAAAAATAATATAAATAAAATAATGATTTTTACTTAACAAAAAATACAAAAAATTAAATATTAATGTTCAAAAAAAAATACCCGACATGTAAAAAATAAAATAAAAAGTAAATATAAATAAAAAAATTTTAGTCCACCGGACTATTTTTCTAATACCAAATCCTGGAAGCCCATCCGAATCCCATCTGCAAGGCCTATCCTAAGCCCTTCGGCTTAGCAGTCCCTTCCTCAACTCCGTAAACAAACAGCACATTAAATAGGACCCACAACTATCCTAATTCCAATCCCCCTCTCATACTCAAAACAAACGGGGCTTAGGACTTATTTAAAGGAGTTGAGTTCTGTCAGAAAGAGAGTGAAACTGAGGAGAAGATGGGAAGCGGAAAAAAGAAAATTAAGATTAAAAGAGTAGAGAAGGAAGGGCAAAGAATGGTTACATTCTCCGGGTCCGACTGCAGTACGCAAAAGTGGTTTTTCTACATCATATATAGAAATTAATTTCAGCCATTGATCCTCATCTTTTAATCTGTGTCATCCGATCAAAAACAAAACTCACTTAGGTTTACCGGTTACAGCCAGTAAAAAACAAAAAAGCAAAACCTAGTTAGGTCTACTTTCTCTCTCTTTGCCCCTCCCTCCATCTCTCGTCTCTTTTCTCATCGATGGCGGCTCTTTTTGCATCCTCTGCCCGCTGAATGGCAACGCAATACTCTGGATCTGGAACCCATCATTCACCAACAATTCCATGTCAGTCAAAATAACTCGTCTCAACCCAAGCTTTAGCATTATTTGTGGATTTATCTATCTACTGAAAATTCTATACTTGTGTGATTATATATATTTCTGTTTTCATATATATATATATATATGTATATATATATTTTAGAATGACTCGTATATGTTTTGATGGTCTTTATTTGTTAAAAAATGCGATCCCCAAATGGAATTTTTCACTTTCTTGAATAAAATTTTCTTGCAAAACAAACAGAGCACGTTTTTAAAAAAAATGCGATCCACTTTCTTTAGTTTTGAAAAGTGACGTGTTTTCCTTTTGGTAATTAGCTAAAGGTTTGCATTCTTAGGCTTCATCTGTTCTGTATCCTGAATGCTTGATTGAACAGACCATGAATCATTTTTTGAGCATAATTCTTCAGCTAAACCATTTAGTGAGTAAAGTAAGGGTACGTTTCATTTATGGATTTAGAAAGGAAAAATGAAAAGGGGTTGAAATATGAATTAAATATGATTATATATATGTATATATTTTAAATTCCTTATCATCTCCTGCCAAATTAATTGCCAATCACTTTACTAAATGTGATCCAATTTATTATTAATTATGGTAAATTTTAACTCAAATCCACTCCCCAACTTACATGACCAACTTAATTCCCATCAGTTATCTAAGCGGATGTATAAAGATTGATTTTTTTCCAATCTACCTAAACTCGGACGGATGATGGATGGGGCGATTCAACTTGATCTGCAAGCATCTTTAGTATAAATCATAGAAGATCCATTTATAATTTCTAATCAAGAAATTTTAAACTTCTTTGATAATGGTGATGATGATTTTAAAAACTATTTGCCAAATAACTTGTGTGAATCAAATTTATTTATTACTGAAATTTGAACGAATGATAAATATTATCTGAATCAAACATGAATTACTAATGAATAATACTCCATTTACTAGGGGTTGTTTCGAGTGTCCTAAATAAGTACATTTTTTGACTTTTTATGAAATATGAGTTGGGTATGGGTTGGGTTTGAAGTGATGTGATAGAGAGGTGATGTGACTTAAATAAGATGATGCGACTTAAATAAGATGATGTGACTTATATATGATAGTGACTTTTTGACTTTTTTTAGTTATGCCAAACCAAGCCTTAATGATACTTCACTTTCTAATTAATGATACTATACTTATTACTCCATTAAATTTGACGGCTCTATTTACTATTCTATCAGACTAGTCTATTTATTACTCTATCAAGCTTAACTTACTATTTAATCAAATTTACTTATTGCTCAATGTAATCGACTTACTACATGAAATATGATTTATTACTTAATGAGTTTCCACTTACTATTTCACTTACTATTCAATAAGCTTCCATTTACTATTTTACTAGACTTTACTTACTATTTAATGAGTTTTCACTTATTATTTCGTTACATTTCACTTACTACTCAATTTTGGTTTCATTTACTACTTAATGAGCTTCCACTTACTACTTCAATAGACTATTTTCTACTTAATTTTGGTTTCACTTATTACTCAATGAGTTTCCACTTACTATTTCATTTATAACGATCCCGGTTGTCCCTTTACTATTCTGTTGTATTCCGGACTCAGTTCCGTGGAGTTGGTAGTTGCATCTATCTTGTTGTCATCCTTTAATACCATTTGTTCGGGTTTTAGGATGTATTGGGCAAAGTTGTTACAGGTTGGTTGGGCTTTGGTTTCAATTCTTTGTTGCCCAGTTTTTAGGAGTTCCGCTCGAGCGGGTCTTCTTGCGCTCGAGCGGAGATTGCACGCTCCCAGTATTTTGGTGCTCTGTAGAACTTTTGGAAGCATGTTTTTCACGCTCGAGCGGGTTTCTTTACGCTCGAGCGGTGGCGCTCGAGCGGGTAGTACCTTTTAGTGTTAGTTCTGGGAGGGAGAAATCTACGCTCGAGCGGACTGGTTTTCGCGCTCGAGCGGA